AATGTGGCAGTTTATGTAAGAAACATTTCAGATGTAAAACCAGATTGAAAGCATAATGCACATTCCAGCATCATGTGTATTATATATAATTATTAGTGACCGATGCAGAGCCTAGGAATCTCAGAATCTTTTATTCCCCAGGTTTAATCATACTGGAGGCAGTGGACATATATGTGGTTTGCATAGGCCAATTTACTGAAGTGTTTGACATCTAGAAATTAAACACACACACACAAACACACACACACACACACACACACACACACACACACAGAGTACCCTAAAGATGTATTTTCACCATACAGCATCTTGTGTGGATAACTTTGTCATATGTATACATCTAAGTGGATGTTAAAAAGCCCTTGTCTTGCTGGGCATGATGGCTCAAGCTTGTAGTCCCAGCACTTTGGGAGGCCCAGGTGGGCAGATCACTTGAGGCCAGGAGCTCCAGACCAGCCTGGCCAACATGGCAAAACCCAGTGTCTACAAAAAATACAAAAATTAGCTGAGCATGTCAGCGCATGCTTGTAACCCTAGCCACTTGGGAGGCTGAGGCAGGAGAATCACTTGTACCCGGGAGGTGGAGGTTGCAGTGAGCCGAGATCGTGCCACTGCACTCCAGCCTGAGCAACAGAGGGAGATTCTGTCTCAAAAAAAGAAAAAAGAAAAAAAAAATTATCTTTCCTATGGATAGATATTTCTGCAGATGAAAAGTTTTTTTTAAATATGCTTCTGAGTTAGGGATGGAAGTAGGATGTTTCAGAAAAGTAAGTAGTGGATAATAAAATAGAGGAGAGGCCCAGAGACAGATGTTTGTCAGGCTGTGGCATATCTGATGAGAACACCAGCCATTCCTTCTCATCTTCTGTGGCTCTTCTTCCCATCACCATCACTCACCTCCCGCCGTCACTTGTATGTAATAACAGAAATATTTATGATCGCATCCTGCGTGTCTGAGAGCAGGGTGTGTAGGTGGTAGATGTGCTTGTCACTCCCAATCCTGAGGCCTAAAACATATTGCATGAATTTTACTTTTAGTTTCCCATTGGTCTTGAGGAAATCCTTCTAAATAATGTATGCTGTGCTGTTATTCCTCTGTTCACCCCTCCCCAGTATCTTCCTGGGCTCCCGTTGCCTCCAAAATAAAATTCCAGCTACTCAGGTCTCCACCTTCTGGTTCCTGCCAATCTCTCCAATCTTGCTTCTGGCCATTTTCATTACACATTTACTTGAGTCCTAATGAAATGTCTGGTGCTTGAATGCACTTGGCTGTTTCATTCCTCTGAGCACACTCTTTCCTCTGACTGAGATGCCCTCTTGGCTCTTCACCATCTAACAAACATCTATCTCCATTTCCTTCTAGTCTTGAGTACAAGTATGATCTCCTCTGTGAAATTTTCCGTGTACTCAGAGAGCCTTGATCACTCTTTTCTTCTGGCCACACCTTACCTACTACTTCTACTTTGAGTTTAGTATCTTTATTGAATTTTTGACAATTTATGTGTCATGATCTAGGTGATTGGGTATACCCAGCATCTATAAACCTGCCCAGCTAAAAGCTAGTGCTCACTTTATAAATGTTTAGTGAATAAATGGATATATACATCCTGGTGTTTGAATTCAGGTTAAAGGATTTCAGGGCTCCATATCTGCTTTCTCAGTTAAGGATGTACTCTCTTCCTTAGAAAATAAAACCCCAAAGAGACTATGAGTTAATACAAATTAATGCAATATTTAAAAATAAAAACAAACCAGATGGAAAGCTGTTGTGAAATGGCATGCCTTATGTAAGAGCAATACATTTTCTTGTCCATACATTATCATTTCTTTCATAGTTCATTGTTCCTGAACATTATCATTCACAGGTATAAGCTACTGGTCCCTCCAAACTCTCTACCCTACCATTCTGATTCTGTTTGTAAGCACAAATGAAATACTTTCAGGCAAAGCAAAAGTGGCAATTAAAATGTCTTTAATCCATGCAAATGCATCATTCCAGAATTGGAAGTTACTGTCTTCTTGATAATCTAGAAAGGCCCGTATGACGTGTGTCTTTCTTCTTGTGTGTTTGTTTTTATTTTGTTTTGTTTTGTTTTTCCAGTAATTGCTTGAGTGGCTGAGTTAGGTTTAAGTCTGAAGCAGATGGTGGTTGAAACTGATCGAGGCACAGGGCTATGGCCTCCTACTTGGGCAGGTGTGTTACAGTGTTAAACCAGGGATGAGGTGAATGCCAGGAGCATGGATAATAAACAATTATCTATTTTAAAAAATTTTACGTATTTCTTATTGATTCAGCTTATCAGAATGTTTAAAACTTTCTGATTTTCTTAACTTATGTTAGTACCATAATCAGCACATCAGTGACAAGTATCACATGTGAAATTGCAGAAGCCAACGACTTTCTACCATTTTGAAAAATTAGAGGGGTAATAGAAATCTCAGTGCTGCTGGAGCAATGATAATTATTTGATGATCCATGCATCAGAAAGATTTAGGCATTTAATGAGTGCCATATAGTTTTATAACTAGCACTTCTTTTAACATGAGCCATTTTGAGGGGTGGTAGATAGTCAGATTCTCATTTGAGGTATAGGAAATAATTTCAAAATGTAGTATTAAGAAGAAGAAGGGTTCAGAGTGGAATTCAAACCATGGTCCTGATACCATGCTACTTTACTGCATCAAATAGACTTCATAAATATCGGGTGGAACGTTTAGGCCACATAAATATCGATGAAGACCCTTTTTGTATAAAGAATAAAAAAGTGTTGGCCAACAGCAAGATGACTGACTGGATTAGGGCACTTCATAAATGCTTTATCAGAACTCACTCTAGCTTTCTCAGTTTCTCAATTTTTAACATTATCCCCGAGGTGTGCATATCTGATTTAAGGAGACTGGTTAGATTTGCAAGCACTTCTTTTATTTTCTCAGAGAAAAAAATTAATTTCAAGCTCTTTTTTAAAAGCTTTTTTTTTTTTAATTTTCACATACCAATAATATGTAAAAGAGAAATGCCACTCACTCTTACTCTCAGAAGATATTTTAAGAAATCTGCTTAGTGGGTTCATTGCGGAGTAAGGCAGACCCAGAGATGGGGATTCAAGTGCAAGTTATTTATTTGATATGTGGTTCCTGGAAATGCAGATAATGAAGAAGTAGAATGGGGAGGAGGGGAAGGCCTCAGAAAGTTCAGAAAACTTTCTTTCTAAGCAAGTTTCCAATGAGAGATTGCAATTCTATCCAGATGGGTTCTCTAGGACCCAAAGCATCGTAAGTGGATCTGCAACATCCCATCTCAAGGGTGGGGCAACTGGGTCATTTTACACCAACTCCCAGTCAGTCACTGGCTGAGGGTTGCACCTGGGGACTCTTTATTTCTCTAGTACTGAAACAGGCAGAGTGAGATCTTATGACTAGAGAAGAGCCTCAGGCAAAGAGAAACAACACTGCAAGTTGAAAATTAGTCCTGCAGGCACTGACATGGTAAGGCCCAAGGGCATCTGGCCCTTATGGCCTCAGCTCCATCTGCGGCTACATTCACTTAGCCAGAAATGGCTTGAGTTCCTTAGATACTAATTTCTGCTGCGATAATAGTGAAATACCCTCTGTGGAGAAGAAACCTCCCTGCAGGACTTCCCGCAATATCAATAGCAATGCCATCATCATGGCCTCTTAAGCCATTCACAGATGGTTCAAGAGTGTTAATCACAAACCCTTAGACAAAGACTCTGGAAAGCACCTTATTCTTGGGCAATACCCCACAGGCATTCATACAACAGACTTAAAAATTCATCCGCTGGCACTGGTGCCGTGGCTCATGCCTGTAATCCCTGCACTTTGAGAGGCCAAGGCAGGTGGATCACCTGAGGCCAGGAGTTTGAGACCAGCCTGGCCAACATGATGAAACCCCATTTCTACTGAAAATACAGCAAATTAGCTGGGCATGTTGGTGGGTGCCTGTAACCCCAGCTACTCGGGAGGCTGAGGAAGAAGAATCCCTTGAATCTGGGAGGCAGAGGTTGCAGCGAGTTGAAGGTTGCAGTGAGCCGAGATCACGCCGCTGCACTCCAACCTGGGCAACAAGAGTGAAACTCCATCTCACTTAAAAAAAAAATTAATGAATGGCAATATAATTATTGTAAGGTCTTGTGATTCATGTTGATGAATATCTAATAGGTGTTTCATGCGTATTTGTGGAATGAATTATCATTATTGTTATTGCTAGTATTTTGACCCTTCTTGCAGAATCACACCATGCAACTCTTATTCTAGAGAGCATGAATCCACTCCCCAGGCCAAGTTGTGATTGCTTTATCTGAATTTACCTGCAGACTTGCTAGGAAGTTTGTATCGTGGACTCTGCTGACTGTGCTAAGGAGATTTATAGGAGCCTGATAAATAGTACTTATATCACAACAGACTGTACATTTCTGCCGTGCTGGAATGAAAGTTCCTGGCCAGAGCCTTTTCTAAGGCCATTTTTTATGTCAAACTGCAGTCAGTCTGGAGGTGGTGTTGAAGATGGTTATGAATGTTACAGAGCGAGCAAGGCAGTGCATTAGCAAAGAATTTCTGTGAAAATGAGTATAAAGGGAGGAGTCTTGGCTCATCAGTACAAGCAGGAAATCCCCATGAAGAGACTGATTTCACTGGCAAATTTAAATCTAACCTCTAACAGACAAAAATGTCTGTTAGGTGCTTACTACCTTCAATAATTACACAAATTTAGTTTCCCTTGGTCTTGTTGTCTCATCACATTCATATTTATGTTGTTTTATATATATATATATATATATTTTATATATATATATATATATATATATATCTTCATAAGCCAAGCCAGATTTTTTTTTTTGGAAATAAACAATAGTTAATTGATCTGAGAACTTGTGATGGCAAACATAGAGATTCAAAGATACTTAGGAGAAAGCAAGACTTGTCATCTATGATCTTTGCTTTCTTCTCTTGTAAAGATGGATTAATACCTAGCCTACGAATTCAAAGAAACAGATAAGACTTTCTAATGTGAACCAAAGTGGTTGTTTTGTATGCAGTGTGTTACACTAGTTCCTGGGTAGATTTCCACTTCTTTGCTTTTATAGATTTGCTACAAAATTTTAGCTCAATCATCCAATGAGACAATGTAGTTTTTGTTGCTTGTTTTGGTAGCAGGAGAAAACAAGGAAAGCGGAAAGAGTATCCCCATTTTTTGTGTGTTCTTTTTCTGTTGTTTATTGTTCAGTTTTTGTTTTGTTTTGGGGGGAGTCTGAAACTCCTCTATTACCCTTTACCCTGAAAGGCACAGAAAGGTGGGGATATCCATGGTTGTAGCAGAACAAGTAGATTCCAGAAAGGGGCGGTATATTTCATTGACCCATTCTTAATTCCTAGTGGCAAAGAAATAAATGAGAGAAACACTTTGAATGTAGGTTCTAGTGCTCAGTTCTCAAGTCTAAGTCTTTAACAGAAACACCTGAACCCCTTCATCAAAAACAAACAAAGATTAGAAATATTTTGAATATCAAGATTGGATAGGAAGCAACATTTATACCACTCTCTTGAAAGAACCACGTGACAAATTCAACTGATTAGGAATTGTAATTGAATGGAGGAGGGAACTATTTCCATTGTTTACACTCTGTCAGTGACCTGGATGCTAAATGAAATCTTAATAAACAAAACAAGCAAACAAAAAAAAAATCCCCACTTGTTTATGTATCCATTCATTCTTTTGCATAAGTTGACAGAGTTGGGCATTCAAATTTTTTAGCATTAGTTTAAGAAGTTTCATCTGTAAAATTATGTATTTAAGACAGAATGCTACATTTCTCTTTTATTCATATTTCTAAAATTTGTCACATATGGAAAGCCTCAGTTTTTCAGTAGAATTATTATTTATTATCAAAGACAGCTTTTGTGAGGAAAGCAACACTTTTTTTTTTTTTTGACAAACTCAATTTGTTTGCATATAAAATATAATGTGAAAATTAATATTGTACTGTGTTTGCAATACTGTGAAAATACTGGGATCTTATTTTGACTAATTATACATCTTAACTTATCCTATAATGAAACATTTAGCTGAGATGTAGTCTTGCTTTGCTCTTTCTTTTAAGTAGAGGTGTGAGTTTTTCTGTTTTGGCTGTGTTCCATTTTGTGCAATAAGATTGCATTTTCTTTTAAAAAGTCCTCTGCTTCAAAACCAACTTTCACTTTCTTGCATAGAGTTCATATTCACTCTGGAGAAGTTTGCAAATCATAATGAGATGACAGCTTTACAAAGAGCCATGGGATTCTTTGAGATTAAAAATAACAGTTGGATATTATATATATTAAGGGTTGCAAATTATGGCCCATGCCGAATCTGCCCTGAGGCCTCTTTCTGTTTGGAACTCAAGCTAAGAATAGTTTTCATATTTTTAAATTACTTAAAAAAATAATATTTTATGATACACAAAAATTATATGAAATTAATTTTCAGTGTCCATAAATAACATTTTATTTGAATACAGCTGCACTGATTCATTTACATATTGTTTAAGACTTTTGTGCTACAACACAAAAATACATGAGTAGTTATGACGGAGACCATATGGCCAGTAAAGCCTTAAATATTAATTATCTGTCCCTTTATAGAGATATTTGCTGACCTTGGTCTCTCTCTTTCTCTCTTTCCTTTTTATATATAGCTATAGATAGGTAGGTAGATTTATGATCTATTCATCTATATATATGTTTTATCTGCCTATGATCTAGCTATATCTACATCTCTATATCTATGCTCTATCTGCATCTATTTATATAATATCCATCAAAGAGAAAGAGAAAATGACATTCAATTAAGAAATGTAACTGCCATTTAATCTCAAATGTGCTTGGACATATTTATACTAAAATGAACAAAATTTATAGTAACCAATATCTTGTTCTCATTTATTCTTCATGTGAAAATAGCACACAAATAAAGACAGAAGATCTATCCCATTTCATATGAACACATCATTAGCCCATCTTCATTTACATAGCTATACCACCTCCAGGCAAAGATGAGGTTTGCGCTATTAGGCAGACAGTGAAGTAAAAATAAACTTCTTTTCAACATGTAATTTTTTCAGCTATCCTGTCTTTGGCTCACACAGACTCATAAAAAGCTTTAAATTTACTACATTTCTAAAAGGATACAGTTTGTGCAGTCGGTAACTGTCACCTTCTATATAGACATTGGTGAAATACACTCACAAAGCAAATCAGTTATTCCTCTCCTTTGCCCAGAGATGGAAAATCATTCGATCTCATAAAACCTTCTTATTTTATTTTATATTTTTATAGCTAAAAATATGAAGCTGAATAGTGACTTAGGTGGTATTTGTTGCTTTTAAAATGTCCTTTCTCTAATTTTAATGTCAGCATAGCAAATGGAGAACCACTGTTGTTTGTTGTTTGATTATAATCACTTTCCTGAACTAGGAAAACCATAGAGAGAGAGAGTGTGTGTGTGTGTGTGTGTGTGTGTGTGTGTGTGTGTGTGGGTGGGTCTGTACAAAATAAAAATATAGCATTTAATTTACATGTAGTTTGGGTTATAAACTGTGAAGAGGAAAAAAACTTTTGTTATTTTTTTCTAAATCAATGTCACTGAAGAACTGTGCATATTAATACTTTAAGTGGATGGTGCTTTCCAATTACAATTAATAGTAAAACCTACTTAGATTTTAAAAATAACTGTTTTACTAGCTAATTCAGGCTAATGTCAAGATAATCCAATCAGTGTAGACATTTAACCATCATTCAATTATTTTAACTACAACGATGTTACAGAGTTTGAAAGGCAAGTGCACATTACATTTCTGCTAAAATAAACACTTTCTATTTCTTATTCTGAAATCACCTTGTAGGCAGGCTTACATAATAACAAGGACTCTTTGAAATCATTATTTGCTCAGTGTGCTATTAATAATAATCTTTTCATGTTGAATGAATTGAAGATGAAGATCTACTCTTTAGCTCTGACAGTTAAGTGTAATCTTTTAAGAATGTGGGCAAGAGGCAAGAAAGGAAACGTGGGGATTTACATTTGTGAACAGTGCTGATCCTGAGAAGACATACTCATAAGGCACCATGAGCAGAGAGCCTCCATGTAAAGTCAGAATTGTCCTTCCTGTCTACACAGTTAGTTCAATTAATATTACTGGGGGGACCACACATCGTCTCTACTTCATCACCCTTTCCCTCTACTCACTGGACTCTTCCTCTCTACCCACAAACACTACAGGACATTCTTTATTTGAATACAGTGAAACTGACTCTGTCTGTAAGCTGCCCCTTCCTTACTGATAAACAACTTTATCCAATGTTAGGTCCTTTAAATTTGTTTCAATTTAGGATTTTGAAATAGTTTGAATGCTGTTGGAAATGATACTTTCTGTTATAGAAAACAATCCATTGGAACATTATTCTTGAATGAAAAAAAGTTTATATATTTCCTCTTAAAATAAGATGAATTCCTCTAAAAAGTAATTTTGTAGGAGAAATATTAAGAAACACTATCATCTGAATTTTCACAGCATCTCATATTTCCAATGTCCTGCTAAATCTAAAACAGATTCTTTTATTTTCTTTAAAAAAATTTAAAAAGAGCAAGTGTCTTTGCAAAACAGGAAAAAACGTATTGACTTAAACATACAAAAATTACTGCCTTTTTTTAACCACTTGGATACATGTGTTTTAATAGTAGATTTGTTTACATCATCAAATTCTTTCTATCTTTGCTGTATTGGTTTTTCAAAAGTAGACCCTAAATATTATTCCTACTAAGTTTCAGAAATATACAAATAGATATAATATTTTCTGTCCTGAACTATTAGAATAACCTCTTATGTGACCATATAAACACCAGCCACATTCTAGTTCAAAACGCTTTGGAATTGAAAAGCAGTTTTCAGTTCCTACTTGTAGGTGGGTGACAAAGTCTTTAGGCTTGTTAGGGCTAAAAGCGCCACACACTTTGAAGATAAATTAGTTTCATTTTTATTACTGTATTGCCAGCTTCTCTTCCAAATTACATTTTTAATAAATTTGATCTATAGCCATTTTGAAGGGTGAAAGCCCATAAACACATCTTTCTGCTTTAATTGCCTTTATAAAGCACTTACTGAAAAGGGCAGTTTTTCTTCCCAATAGTACCACCAGTTTTTATAAGTGAATCTGCCTGCCTCTCAGGATAAACTGAAATTCAGTGCTAAAAATGAATCCTGTACTGTGGGGTGTTAATATATTCATTCACACAAATTTTTATTGCAACAAAAAGGAAAATAATTGCCTTTTCAAGGAGGTTGTATGACATTAACAGGTAACATTTATATTCCAATTTATTTACAATTATATTCTACATATCATGGCCCCGTTGTCAGATCAATGCTGTTTGTGACTTGCAGGCAGTTAAAAAACCACACCTTTTGTCATAGAACAACAGGCTTGAGCAAGTTTGCTACTGGGCGCTGAGCCACATGAATCCATGTATCTTTCTCTTCTCTATTTGTGTGTACACTCCTCCCTGGGTGATCTCATCCAGAGTCATGAACTTGCATTCCATCTACACACCCATGCCTCTGTCGTTTGGATCTCTACTCTCATCTCTCCCCGAGTTCAGACTTGCACCGCCTACTGGCTCTTCACTTTGACCGGCTAACTGATGCTCAAATTCAATGTATGGAAAGCAGAATTCTTAAGTCTTCCTGCAACTTGTCTTCCCTATCTCAGTCCCTAGCGTCAACATTTCATACTAGGGCCCAAAACCTTGTAGAAATCTGTGACTCCTCTTTATCTCCCACATTCCTTATCTATTGGCAACTCCAGTGGTCTCCAACTGATAATACAAACATGTACACACAGAATCTGACCATGTCTCAACATCTATTCTGTGACTACTCCAATTAAGCCACAATCTTCTCTCACCTAGACAGTAACATACTACTGAAGGATTTCTGTGGCTCTGGTAATTCTCTAAACACCGGCTATAGTGAAATATATTCACATATTTTAAAATGTGAATTAAGTAATTTCTCAGCCTTGCTCAAGACTGGCCAATGGTCTCTATCACACTCAGAATGAAATCCAAGCCCCATGGGCTACAATGGCACATGTGACGCAATCCTTACCTTATCGCTCATCTCACCCCACTCTCCCCCTCATACATATTGCTCTAGTCATGTTCACTGACCTTCATGCTTTCTGTGAGCAAACCAAGCCCACTCCTGCTTCAGGCCTTTGTACTTTCTCTTCTCTCTGTCTGGAGCACTCTTCCCGAGGTTTTTGGATGGCTCACTTTCCTACTTCATTCATATTTCAGCTCAAATGTCAATTCCTCCGGAAGGCCTTTCCTTTCTAA